TATATGATATATATATATATATATAGAGAGAGAGAGAGAGAGAGAGAGAGATATGTATGTGTGTGCTTTATTCCCTTCCTTCGCTTCTCCCCCACCCGTTTCCCTTTACATTTCAACATTTTCTTTCTACTTTCTCCATTTAGGCCCTTATTTATCTTTTGGCATTCTCACACAAGAGAAAAAAGACAATATTTAAACATGCATATCAAATTTATTTCATTTAAAATTAATCCTGTTGAGTTGGAGAGATACCTCAGTGGTCTAAGCACCTGCCTGGCAAGAGCAAGGACCTGGGTTCAATCCCTGGTGTTACATACTGCGCCAGGCCTGGAACCCCAGGCGCACCATGCCAGCCATTGAAACCGGGCATGGTGGTGCATGCCTGTAATCCCAGTGCTGGAGAAGCTGAGACAGGAGGATCACTACAAGCCCTAGCTGTATAGTGAGTCCCTATACAAAAAAAAAAAATAAAATAAATGAATAAATAATTTCTTAAAAAGCCATCACATTAAAATTATCCTCAAGGTGCATCCGTTTACCTGAAGATGTCCAGGGATTTCCTTCCCTGTGGCAGAAGAGTACTGCACTGTACTTAAAAACCACATTTTCTGTATCCATTTGTCCATTGGTGGACATATGGACTGTTTCTGAGATTTACCTATTATGAATCCTGCTGCTGTAAACATGATGTGGCTAAATGGCCTGCATATGATGCTTTTACTCTTTCAGGAAGCTATTTAGAAGAGGAATAGCTGGGTCAATGGAACCTCAACGTTTAGCTTTTCTGAGGAATCTCCATTCTAATTTCCATAGTGGTTGTACCAATTTACACTCCTACCAAAGGTAGAAAAGGGTTCCTTCCCCTGCTCCCCAGCTTCACCACATTTGATACTGGTTAGTTAATTAATCAATTAATTTTTTTTTTTTCGGAAGCAGGGATTGAACTCAGGCCCTTGCACTTGCCAGGGAAGTGCTTATTCTACTGAGCCGTCTCCCTGGCCCCCTGGTTAATTTCTTGATGGTAGACATTCTTCTAGAGCAAGATGGAATGTCAGTGTTGGTGTTTTAATTTGCATTTCTTCAAAGACCCCTGATTTTGATCATATTTTTTTCACATATTTGCTATTTGTACTTCATCTAAAAAGTGTCTGTTCATTTTAGCAAAGTCACAGAATTGGAAAGGCTTTTCATCAGCTATGTGTAGATGAAGTACTGAAATCTAGAATATACAAAGAACCCCAAGAAATCAGGCCCTACAAATTTAAAGAACCAATCCAAAAGTGGGCATCTGAAGCAAGCAAGTTAGGAAGCCACTCTTTATCCCACAAGGAAATATGGCCTCAGCCCTTAAGGCTGCTTGCTAAAAACAAGCCTGAGGATGCACCAGGAAAATAGGAGACTTTTCTCCCAGGAAAATAGGAGACTTTTCTCCTTAGACCTTGAATTTACATACACCCATCTAGGTTGTGTACCTACGTGATTGTGTGTGTGTGTGTGTGTGTGTGTGTGTGTGTGTGTGTGTGTACTACTGCCTTACTCTGTCACTGCTTTGTATACAGCTAGAGGTGCAGTGCCCACCTGGAACCACCCTTGGCTTTGTGGCAGAACACTGGAACCTGTGCAGAGCAGTCTACAGCATCCAAAATGAGAAGAAAGAGAATCTGATGGGCGTGCGTGGGCCGTGCTCAACCTACGGCTGTGGGTCTGACTCTGTTTTTGAGGTAGACACTGTGCAAATGTTTCTACTATTTTTTTCTTCAGAGACATCATAATGATCTGGGTTTAGGTATCTTTAATGTAAATTAATAAAGTAGTATGAGGAGTTAATTAATCAATAAACATCAATTAGTGGATTCTTCCACATTTTTCAAAATGTGGGCTACTATTTCCTTATTTCAGTGTTTGTTAGAGATATAAAGGAACATTCAAAACATTAAAATTGGGGCTGCGGAGAGAGATTGGTAATCGAAGCACCTGCCTGGCAAGCTCGAGGACTCAGGTTTCGATCCCTGGTACTGCATGCCATGCCAGCCTCGGAACCCTGGGCATGCCATGCTGGCGATGGAGACTGGGTGTGGTGGCACATGCCTGTAATCCCAGATCTGGGAAGGCTGAGACAGGAGGATTACTATGTGTCTGAGCTGCATAGCAAGAGCCTCTACCAAATCAATCAATCAATCAATCAATGACTAAAATAATTAAAAATTTTTAAGTAATGTGACCTGATCAATTTACTGTATTTTTGCTTATACTTGCTTGAACATGTTCCCAAGTTTCCTGGATGAGAACATAGATTCTGTGCAAGTGTCAAGCCTAGCACAGGAAACAGAGAGTAAAGGTTGGTTATTTGCAGGGCAGAAGTCTACCTGCATTGCAAAAAACAGGATAGCACTGATAATGTGTATAAAATTCATAATAGGTAACACTGTAATATTGTCTCTAGAAGAAAATCCTTTTATCTTATCAGAAGGGCTACCAAATGATTGCTTGTTTATATATACGTCTTACCAATGAAATTCCTAGAAATATTTCCTGGTTTTGTTCAAAAGTACTTTCTTGTAATTTTTTTTTTTTTTGTGTGTGTGTGTGTGTATTTCCTATGACAACTGTGAGGAGTGCAGGATCCACCTTTTACAAGCAGAAGGCTTTTCTGTTCTGATGTATCATAACAGGGTGGATCTGACCCAGGAAAGAGTGAACGATGTACAGTGCACAGTACCAGGCCTCCGTACTGCTGACAGGTTTCCCTAGTGTGAGGGGTTAACTATGGTCAAGTTGTAACAACCAGCTGAATCACCAAGCTGTAACACCGTGCTGAATCAGCATGGTGCTGGGTGTGGAAGGTCCACCCGAGGATTTTGCCAGCAGCACAAAAGGAGAAGTGGAGGGGAAGCTGGTGTGCTATTGATTTTCTTCGAGAAGCTTGTCATGCTGGCTTCTGGATGTGAACCCAGCTGCTATCATCGGAGGAGGCTGGGTCCTTCCTGTTGCTGAGGATGGCTGCAGTTCTCACGGGAGCTCTGGTCCTTGTCTTCAGCATCGCTTTCTGGCTCCAGAGCAGATCTCTTAGCCTGCTGGCACAAACCCTTCACCCTGCTGGTGGTGAAGACTTTCTGGCTTCCACCACTGACCTTTGCGTCTTGCCAGAGCAAATCTTTAATACAGACTATTACGTTTCTTGTATTAAACCTTTTTCTTTGTAACCCTTGACTATAACACCACCTAGATTGGAAGTGACTTTGTTCCATTCTCCAATTCCCGTCCTTTGCTATATGAAGAATTAATAATGAGTTCAAATGCTACCATCTCTGATGAGATCCCCTTAATCAATCATTTGAAGATGAGGAAAGTGCACTACCCTGAGAATTGCTAAGCTGTGTCACAGCTCAGTTAATAACCGCTTTGAAGCCACTTGGTCCTTTGTGCCCATGATTTGGTCATTTGAAATTAAGAAATTACTATACACGTTTTCTACATTGTATTTATGCTGCATCTAAGTGGAACTTTGAAACAGACACTTCAGTACTTCCAATTATCATGAAATTACTTTCTTGTCATTGTAGGTCAACTCCCTGGAGGGCACGTCCAACATTGGCAGTATTATTAGGAAGTGGAACGGTTTGCTGTCCACAATGGGAAACGCTGACCATTTTGACATTCACTTCCCATTAGACCTGGATGTGAAGATGAAAGCCATGATTTTTGGAGCTTGTTTCCTTATCGTAAGCCTTTGTTTTTCAAGTATCCTAAGAGAATCATTCATGATGAGCGGCAGCATGGGATAATAAAAAAGGATGAAGTTTTAAAAGTAGCCAGTTTTAAGCTGTGCCACACTCTTTAGGTCCACATTGTCCAAAATGTTTAAGACGTGGGAGCCTCAATTTGCTCATGTATAAAAGGGCGATAAAAACACTTATATTTTAAGGATTAGCTACTTTAGCTATTGTGTGATTACAATAGCCAGGAGAGTAGTTAGAACCTACATCTGATGGATGTAAGTGCCATCAGTTCATATTATTTGTCACTCTCATTACCTAAAAGTACCTGTCCCATGACATTTCGTGAAATGAAATAGCTCTAAAGCTGCAGTCATTTTCCTCCTTCCTTTCTGCCTTTTGTCACTGTACCCCTCAGTGCTATACTAGCCTTAGGTTTAATCCGGTTTTTCTTCCTTTATTTTTTATTTTT